GTACAAACCTGAATAAATTGATTGGTATTGCTCTTGGCGTTAAGTTATGGTGAGAGTATTATAAGTAATCAAATTTGTAAACAGATGTTTTAAATAGATCTTTAAATACTTGAGTATTTGACCATTTACTAAATAAAATACTTTAAGGAGCTACAAAGTATGCATTTAGAATTACTGCTTAAATTCATCGATCGAATTTACAAATCAAAGTTCGTATAAAATTAAATGGACACATTAACTGGAATTCGAAGACAGTGGTGTCGATTCTGGCATGATTCTCTAAACTTTAAACTATATTTTACACCAGTCTCTCCTTTTCTTTCAGTATAGAGAATGACAAGGATACACTGTTCAGAGAACCCTTGCGTGTCTTTTTATTTTACTTTATCTATTTTTTGGAGCAAGTGAAATCGGTCGTTGGAATGAGGCTTCCCTAGAAATGTACCTACATGACTGCCCATGTCAAACGTTGATCGATAGTGTTTTAGGGGCAATTAAATTAATTACAAAAAGTAAATGATCCTAAAACATCATCAAATTGCTTTCATATATATTTTAGGAAAGCGATTGTTGTATTTATTTTTAACTTGTGGCTTTTAACGTGGTTCTACATTATTCGATTGCATCGACATTTTGAATTCAAAAGTAAATATTAGCACATTATAGTAATTTACGTTATTTATGGGATTATTACCATATACTTTGTTTTTAGCGAGTTTCCGATATTTAGACACAGTAAACAGTTGATATAAAATCACAGACAGATCACTGAAAATGTATTTCAGTGACACTATATAGGTATAACAACAAATATTAAAATCAATAATGAAAGCGGTTGCTTAACAAAATAATAGTTTGATCTCAACAATCACTTAAATTCTAGCGTTATATTTTGTACTATGTCTCAGCTCGCACTTGACCGGCTTTTACCATGTCGAAATAATGTAAAAAAATGTTTTCTTTTCAAATTCTGTAGTTTTACCTCTTGTCACAAATTTCACAACAGGTATGAAGGATATAGAGTCCACATTCTTACATTAGCATCCAAAATCGGCTAACCGAAAAAATACCACAAAAACAAGAATCATTGTGGATAGTCCGTCGTCACAGTCTCGTGATTCAAAACGATACTCTAAAGTCATTCACAAATTTCTAAAAGCTTCTTTTGTAAATCATAATTCATCGAAGTCGTAAGATTTTCAATAGATAGAAAAAATTGGCCTTTTGTGACTTAACTACAGTGTCAGTTTTCACCGACGCTTATTATTTCTTTGCTCTCATGTAGCCGTCAAAAAGCAGCTCAAATATCTTTGACCTTAATTGGTCATGTGCCCCCTTTGCGGCCTATGAAATTGCAAGTCACCACAGTGACTTTGCTGAGCGTTGACTTGGCTACCGGCCAAAGTTCTACATATATATTCTTTATCGTCACTGCATCCAATGTAGATAAGAAAGTATCTGCAATGAGATATAAATTTAGAAAACGGAAAGTGATCTGGTATATTCGACCGTTATTAGGAAAGTTATGGAATGTATATGCGCCATATTTTTGACTCTTTTTGATAAATTGATTTTGTTTGACATTTAACGACCGTAAAAGTGTATTTTTGTACAAAAAGGCGATTCTGTAAAATAAAATCACACTTCTGATTTCGGTAGCTGCCATATTAGACATTAGTTTGATATGCGTTCAGCCATTACACGGCAACATGTCAATATGTTTGTAGAAGCAGCCAGTAGTTAGATAAGTTAGTTCAGAAATTCGAGAAATGAGATCGTAAGTGAGCCTACATCTTATAGAATACCTATGCAGGTCCGAGTTGGACGAGCAACAAATACCAAGACCGGACCTGTGCAAAAGAGGCAGGAGGGCTGCCATTATAGGTAAGAGTTTCTTGGTCATTTTAATCACAAAATAAAAAAAAATATATTTGGAACATTCTGTCTACGTTTGTTTCATTCCTTTGATTTATACTCTTAATATAGAGTCGCACAGACGATTGATATTGCTGAACACGAGAATTTAAATTAAGTAGATCCTACATTCATCAATATTATGTCACCACAGATAGCAATCTAGTTGATTAATGCCGGGTAAGCTTTCATCGGAAGCTTAAAAGCTCTTACAGGGCATATAATATATATGAACACAAACAAAATTTTCAGTTTCAGTACGCTGAAAGAAATCTTCTATTAATACTGTACCTGCGACTTAGTCCGCGTTCACTTTAGTTTTTTGGAAACCCCCAAAAAACGTAATACTTTTTTGGGATAAAAAGTTTCCTGTGTCTCAATCCAGGTCATAAACTATATGCGTACCAAATTTCATCCAAATCCGTTCAGTGGTTTAGGCGTAAAAGCGTAAACAAACAAATAAACAAACTCACTTTCGCATTTATAATATTAGTTAAGATTAGGATGACACAGCAATCAAAATATGAGGTCATTGTATTGGTAGCCGTATTATTTTATTTGAATATTGCTACTTCTTTTAAATGTTGATGAGTTTCTTTCGCCCGTTTCTTCTCAACAGCTAAAAGATTTCTCCAATGGGTGATAGAAAAAACATTCAATAAGTCAATTTGAATAAAGTTACTCGTAATTTCATTTCATGTCAGCCTGGTACGACATGGGTCAGGGTGTCGGATGCTTAAGTTAAGTCGTCGAAATATCAACATAGTATCAAAAGATACGGAAGTCTCATTAATGTAACCATAAAACGATATTAGTATATTAATCCTAATAGACTTTTGAAGAAATAAAAAATAACTAGTTATTTTGAATAATTTGGCATGATGCCAAGTTCTAGCTTGTGTACGAGTATAAAGGTTGCAGAAGTCTACCCTTTCGATTATTATCGATTTTAAAATAACAAAATTGGATTTTTTCTACGAAATCTGGGGGAAAAAATGAAAATGCATACGTTGAACCTTTCTGTCTTTTCTTTTCCGGATTTTTTTCCGGAATGGGAAGCCTAGCCTTTCTCTTAGTGAAATCTACCAATTTTCATTTAGGTATATACCTGTTAAACTGTTTGTGCGTGATTGAGTAACAAAGAAAGAGATATTTGAACACACTAACAGTTACAATATTATTAGACTTCTGTTGGTATCGGTTCGGTTTTCGGTAGATTTTTGTTATTCTTACTTTAATATCTTCCAAAATTATATAAAGGAATGGTGTCGATTCTGGCGTGATTCTCTAAACTTAAAACTAAATTTAACATCAGTCATCAGTCAGTCATCTCTCCTTGTCATTCTGTATGCAGAATGCTCTGTTGTCAAATTTAAATTTAGCTTTAGAGAATCATGCCAGAATCGACATCATTGCCAACTTAGAATGAAATAAAAATGTTTTACATAACTATTAAATTTAACCCAGATCTATAAGGGGAGAATATAAAAGTCGCCGTACGTCGTATCTTAACTGATATCCACATATTAAAAAGTTAAAAAGTTTAACTAATTAATGTTAATTGAAATTGCTTGGCATATTTACTGTGTATCATTTTAAAAAAGATGACAGAACTGCCAGTTAGCATCACTAGATATTTTATTATTCTAGAGAATCAGGTCAAGAAGTACTACTGCATGTATGTTTGCTCGGGCTTTTTTTGTTTCATTGTATCTATGTAGCAGTTGCCTTGGATTTTATACAACTGCATGAGGTGGTCAATGGTACTGTACTTTAATATACATTAGTTATGGCACTAAAGGCTTTTTACTATGTACACTACACTGGATATGGATATTAACTTTATGAAGGCTTTTCTCATTAAAAATTGCATTGATTGCACGTGCGTCAATAAAAGTGTTCGTGAACTGACATATCTAATCAAAAAAACAATGTGAAATGATAGTCTTAAATAATGTAGGTAAAATTAAAAATAATCAACACAAAAAAGTTAAATTAAACGAAAGACTGAATGAAAGTGAAAGTCTCAAAAAAGTCTAACTAACCCTTACCAAATCGGAAGCTCCTAATCAAAAACACACTTAAATATCACACAATAGAAAAAGCGATCACAACACATATATATAGGTACTTAAATAGGTAGGTAACACACACCACACACTTGCTTCAGAGGGAAATTTCAATGCGTACTTTTTTATGGTGAATTTCGTGGGCAAGTCGGCAGTTCAGTCCCGCGGCACGGTACGCGACTGCCCGGGTCTGCGCCCGTTAGGGATCGATGGAAGTGCGCATGTTCTTTGTGGCTCGCGTCACCTCCAATATCTTATGTATGAGAGCGGAATACGCCGCTCCGAAAGAAGAGTGAAAAACGCTAGCGTTCCACTAATGATGAAACGTAGCCAACTCTGCTTCTACGCTCTTCGATTCACCAGCCTTAACCCACTCACCTTTATTTGGATAGGAGTTATGCGATTAACGATCGTTGATTCGCCCCTCTTAAAAGCCTTCATAACAAAATTATAGACGGTCAGTGTCGCAGTAAATATCAATCATAATTCCGAATGGAATGTTTTCGCCGAAAATAATGGGGATTCCTGTTTTTCTCGCCTAAGCAAAATGTGTTTTATATATATCATCCATTTTCATCACGAAGAGAAATTGGTTTTTAACTATGTAGATACTAATGCGTTCTTCAATTATTTACAGAGCACGTTCATATAGCAACAGTTACATTTCGTTCCTACGTTGTTGTCTTGGATTGTTCCAATTTCTTTCGTTGTCGGATAGCCTGCGTTAATTATTAAGGTGCTGCTTTTTTATTCAAGTCGTAATGTACGATACTATAGTTCAGGTGAAATTCGTCGGAATAGAAATAGGCTATAAATTTACCCTTGTCCAAAAACGGTAACAAGATATTGTCCAGTTGTTAAATGCATAGCAAGTTTTGTACAGATTTATTTGAATGATCAAAAATACCTTTTTTGTCGATGGATATTGATTTTCTTGATTTGATTTCGCTGTTGTCGTCTATAAAGATGATAATTTCTTTCCCGTGCTAGAATCATTTTTTTAACAGGCACACTCACCGATATTTCCTATCTCGATGCCAGACGGAGATGTGGAGGACTTGATGGTCGTACACTACTGAGGGGACGGGCAGCTTCAGATGTCTTTGGAACTCTGGCTCCCTCTTTCCGTAGAGAACAGATGTTCGTTGAAATATTGACCTTTGAGTTGGAAGCGAGTGGCTCTCAGTTACCCCACTAATTACAACCTGTGAACATATTCATACTGTAATTGTTGGGTGCTAACTCCAGATGCAGTCGACTTAACCTTTAGACAGCTTAACGTGCCTACCGAAGCACGGGGAGCCTCATCATCATCATCAGCCTATTAATGTCTCCACTGCTGGGGCACAGACCTTCCCTATGGATGGAATGGGGAGATTAGGCCATGACCCACCACGCGGGCCCAGTGCGGATTGATGGGTGCAGACGACTGCAGATGCAGCCGGAACCAATGGCTTAATGTGCCTTCCGAAGCACGGAGAAGCTCGAGATAGTAAATTTTTGGTCACACATCCAAAGACCGACCACTGCGAAAGTTGCTTAACTTCAACGATCGCAGCAGAGCGCGCTAACCACTTGCGCCATCGAGCTCTTTAAATGAAGGGGAGCCTCAAGATCACCCAAATTATAATACACTTCTTACTAAATTCAAACGATTACCTATAACCCATTGTTTCTGTAGGTAAAACATATATAACTACACAATATGCAGCAATTAAAATTAAAAGTGAGCGTAATGTAATCAGATTCACATGATTTTAATAGTGCGCTGTCTAGTTAGGCCCATTGCCAGTCATGTTTTTGCTCATGAGATTTAATAAAGGATATGGTAATCACTATAGTTACAGTGGGGCAAATAAAGGTAAAAAAAAAAACAAAAAAAAGATAGAAATGTTGTAGTTCTTCAAATATAACACAAAGATTGCTCAATAAGTTGTAGCAGTAAAAATAGGTAATGTTGATTTTCTAGAAAACTAATGAAATACTTTTTTATTACCTTTGTGTAAGCGTTAATATCATCCGTTTTTCCTGTACACCGTTGTAAATCTCGACATCTTATAACTGGAAAGAAATTAAATTATATTGATTCAGGGTCAAATTAAATTATTCTATTAAAATTGTCATAATAAAAGGGGTCGATAGTCACCACTCACCGTGCACGTCTATGACGTCATTTTTAGTCCTTATTTCTAAATCAATAGTACCCTTGAGGGATTGAAATCGATCAGTGCTGTGCTCTAAACGATTGCTAGCTATACTTCTTCTTTTCTCTTCACTACTATTGATGCTGCTTTCTTCTGGAGAATATGTGAGGCATCTTCTCGAAGATTTGTGTTCAATAACAGGTGTTACGATATCATTTAAAAGCAAATCCTCATCTAATTTACTAGATTTATGAGCTCGCTCCTCACTCAAGACATTGCTTGGTCTCTTTAAATTTGGTACAGGTGTGATAGGACTAGGAATACCATTTTCTAAAGTTAATCCAAATAGTTCTCTTGACCTCTTGTTATGAATTTCTGGTTGATGAGGCATAAGGCTACTATGCGACACGTTAGATTTTAAAGACACGTTATCGCAAGCAACTTGTTCTCTATAATCTGTTCCATAATTAGAAACATTAAGACAGTGTAAAGAGGAGCTAAGAGGTTCACAAAGAGACGTGTTTTGAAGTTCTAAAGCTGGACTAGGAATATCCACGTCAAGAGTCAAAATAGACCGTGAGACATGCTCTGTTTCTGATACATTTCGCTGTCGCCTATGACTCTCATTGCTGACAGTAGACTTTTTCCTACGTATACACCTTTGCCTCCTTAGAGCGATATTACTAGTTTCTTGAGAAGCACCGTATAAATCTGGTGTTGACTCAGAAGAAATGTAACCCAAGTTACTTTTCTCATGGTTGGAAACATTCATGGAATAAGATCTACTTAACGATTTTCTAGTTTTCTCTTTTAACTTGGATTTTGACTTAGTATCAATATCCGGAGTTCGTACTTCTCTCTCATTATATCCATCACCATCGTCTAAAATAAAACATCCAATTGGAAGATTTTTCAATAATTTATCGTTGACTTTATGGACTGGCATAATTTTTTTAGTTGGCCTAGTTTTTGGCGACAGTGAACTTTCTCTTGATAAATTTACATACCTTGCTTCTTTGATAAGATTAGCTTTATTATCAGCTTGAAGTTTGACAAATAAATCTTTGACTGCTTCTAGTGGTGGTATTTCATCTTCCACTGTAGGCAAATCTTCAAAATTTTTATTTAATATTCTACGTTTAGTTTTTACTATTTTTGTACTTTTTATTATATCTTCAATCATTTTCTCTAGAGTGACGTCACCCATTTGTGTCGTTGATACTGTTGATTCTGTTTCATTAGTAACAGAATCTTTACCTAATATAAATTTATTTTCCATTTCCGTAGAAGTTTCTTCGTCTCTAAGAGGAATAGTGAAAGGATTTTCTATTTTCGGGAAATACTCTGTAACGTCATTAACAAACACTTGTCTCTGTGACTTGCTGTGCGTACTTAAGGTGCTAAATCTTAAAGCAGCTAACTTGGCAGATAATGGAGTAATAGAGACAGGTGAACAACCATCACGTACTAATGTATGCGTATCCCTTTTATCTACAGAAGGCGATTTAAACGAGCTCTCGAACTCATTTGATTTCTTCCTCGTTCTTTTCAGTGGTCTTATATTTGAACCGCATATATTATTTCTATTAAAATAAATCGGATCATCCATAAATATGTGATGTCCAAATATGGGAAGGGTAATTTTTTCACAATCCTCATTGCTGAGAGTATGTGGTTTTTCCATACAATTTATAACAAGATCTTTATCATATTCTATTTCTACTACACCTTCACTGGTAGTTTTAGTAGTACTAGTAGTTTTATTACTTAGTCTTTTATTTAACATGATATATTGCCTGCTGCAGTCAGCACTTAACCTATCTGAAAGTTCATTAATCGAAGGTTCTGATGTGCTATGACTTAATTTAGGTGAACTAAATTCATTCTTATTTATAGGTTTTATTCGTCTTTCTGATTTATAAACACTACTATCTCGACTAAAGCATTCGCTTATTGAACTATTCATTTCTAATTTTCGTTTTTTAGCTTCTCTAACTCTCCTACTGTAAGTAGGAGTAGGAGGTATATCGTCTTTTGAACCATTTAGATAATATTTTCTTCTATCGTACGTGTTGATAGGTGTTGTTGACGAAGGAGTTATATTACTAACATCTTTAAGTGCTAAGCCCTCAGGTTTCTTTACAAAACCTTCTTTGTAATAATTTGGAGTGTTTCCGATGTAATTATAATTTTCCTTGTCAACTGTTTTCAAGTTATTTTTTCTAGCATTGGAACCTAAAGATCTTCTCTGATATCTACTGGGCTTCTTACTTTTCTTAACAGATTGGGCATCTAGCGATCTTCTGATATTATTGTTATAAGGTACATTGCTGAATGCTTCTCGTGTTTCAGTTTTCAACTCGTTGATTGACTGAACGTCTTGGTTCTTTTTACCATATACTGCCCACTTCAGCATTTTATTTCTGTAACAAGAGAAATATTTATGTTATAAGAATTTGGTAGAGAAATTTATCTAATATACACAAGAAATCAACCCATAAAAATGATAAAAAAGTAAAGTGAATTTTATATTTAAAGGTTTTCATACTGTTCAGTTAGTATTAAGGCATTAGACTCACAAAAGAATAGATGGTTATTAATATTCTGTGTCTCTATCTTTCTGTTACGTTTGCACAGATAAGATTGTTGGTATGATTGATAAAATAAAAATAACAAACAAATATTTCCAACACTCAGACTAATTAGCCTAGCCCCAAAGTAAACATTGTAAGCTTGTGTTATGGATACTGGGGTAGTAGATAGAATACACATACTGATACATATATAAGCATATTTATATAGAAATACATATTAAACATCCATGACTGGAGTACAAATGCTCGTATTTGCAACATCAAATATCTACGCCAACCGGGATTCGAAATTTTCGGGTAGGTCGACTCGAAAATATTAGCTCACGGGGTTATGGCAGGTGCTATAAATTTGTATGCCAGCTGAATTGAATTTTGCTAAAGTATATGAAATTGTTATAAACATTCATGGTCACTATAGCTATTAACGGAATTGTTACCATGTACCTTGTTTTGGTTCGTATGTGTAAAAACGGCAATATTAAAAAAGTGCCGTACCGCGATCGGATATGTGAGTATTGTTTCGGGAACAGGCGCGAGTGAATATTGATAATGTGACCAGTGGTATGGGTATCAAGCGTAATAAAAGACGTCGCCAGAGGGTAGACTGATATGTCTGCCAATAAAATCTCCCCGCAAGTACTTTAGTTACTCCGTTTGCAACAGTACCGAAATATCGGAAACAAGTTACATGGTAACAATCCACTGTTCAATAATATAATGACATCATGACTTAATCCATGAATGCCGATGTAAGTTGACTAATATTTGTAACGACAATAGTCTGACCCTACAATGGATTAAAGGGCACACCGGCTCAAGGGGTAACGATGCGGCGGACTGCATAGCCAGGGAAAGGTCTAGCAGGCTGGTCATTGGCCCGGAGCCAATTGTACAGCTGAGAACCTGGAAAGGGAGCACAAGCTAGGGAAGCTGTTCCTAGGGTAAACCTGCAGCTATCACGTAAGTTAATCAGACTACCTAGACGAGCCCTAAAACAAATCGTGGGTATACTCACGGGTCACGGCTACTTCAACAAACACTGGTATTTCTGACAGCCCTCCATGCAGAGCCTGTCTGGAGGAAGAGGAGACAATCGCTCATGTTCTGCTGGAGTGCAGAGGCGTTGCAAGACAAAGGACTTCTCTAATGGGAAGTCCGCGGGCACTAGTAAAGGCCTGCAGCAACATTCGGGGACTGCTGAGCTTTCTGGAGGAACTGGGATAGCAGGACTGATGCCAATCCCCACGCAAAATAGGCACTAGGTGACGAGTTGCGGAAACAGCCCGCCAAACTACTAAGACATGGTAACAATCCCGTTAATAATTATAAAGTTTATTTTGTACTCGACAGAGGTCGCAAGTCGTGAGTTCCACTCGATATCGGTCATGGCCGTTGTAAACTCATAACACGGACTTTAGTATAGGTACCGTTAATACCGACATCTAATTTATGGATCCGTCGAATGCGGTCAGGTGAACAAATAACTTTAAAGACCAATTTTACAGTGTGTTAAAAAACCGGATAAATATGAATCGGACTCACGTAAGAAGGGTTCCAGACCACTTCTTCATCATCATTACCAGCCTTATAATATGCCTACTCTATGGATGGGATAGGGAGACTGGGCAGTGACCAACCACAGGGCCCCAGTGCGGATTGGTGATGATAAGTTATCCAATCCAATGAAAGACCAGTGTAAAAGTTTCTTATCTTTCACGATGATCTGGAGACCATTCGCCTAACGGAAATGCTTTGGAAAACGCTAACGCTTTCAAATTTTATTTTATTATTTCTGAATTCGCGCACCCGCTCATTTTTTTAATATTGTTATTACCAATGCAAAAGAAAAAAAAAGCGCGAGGCATTTGAAACTGAGATTTTCAAATGCCTCGCGCCTCTTAATAGGCTAGAAATAACAATATGAAATCGTAAGCGTTAGCATTTTCCAAAGCATTTCCGTTAGTCGAATGGCCTCCAGGCTGAATTCACAAATAACCTGCGCCACTACTTAACAAGATTCAACGTCTGAAGTTTCTTTCCTAGACGGGTGCTCCAATTTGAATGGAAAACCAGCTATGATCAACTTCCAACATCTTTGTTTGTCTATATATAAGAAAGCAATGTGAGACTGTTAGTTCAAACACTCGGTTGCCCGTTAAGTTGTTTCGTTTTACGCTTGTAATATGTGCCAGTAGGTAGGCCTGTGGTGATATCGACTCGACGACGAATATTAACAAAAGCATTTCCTTAAGTTGCTGTTTGCATGAGTCTCGTAAAAGTTACACCTCTTTCTTGTTGAATGATGCTTCGTGACTTTGAATTTTTCAACTTACCAGCACGTAACTTAAAAATATGTAAGTATATATTCTCCGTTTTCATGCATTTGACTAAAATATTTAAAGTGTCATTTGGAATCGCACTGAAAAGTTTCGTGCCATTGTATAAGGTTTCATTTGAAGTACAGCCATTGTTAAGAATAAGTAAAAACGGGAACAAGAGTTTCTTAAAATTTTTGGGGTGTTAAGGTAGTCTATATATATTGTGGTATTGACATCGTGCTACAATTTGTAACTACCTGGGCCCTATTTCACCAACTCGACATATATGTCATCGATCATCATCATCATCATCAGCCTATTAATGTGCTGGGGCACAGGCCTTCCCTATGGATGGAATAGGGAGATTGGGCCATGAACCCATCACGCGGGCCCAGTGTGGATTGGTGGGTGCTGACGACTGCAAATGCAGCCGGGACCAACGGCTTAATGTGCCTTCCGAGCACGGAGGAGCTCGAAATAGTAATTTTTGGTCACCCATCCAATGACCCACCACTGCGAAAGTTGCTTAAGTTCAACGATCGCAGCCGAACGCGCTAACCACTTGCGCCATCGAGCTCCTCATGTCATCGATTTATTTCATAAAAATTACAGGAATTTTGTTACAGTTGACATTTGTCCATATCTTACTACAACGATAAATTGTGTTGTGAAACAAGGGTAATTTTTCTAAGTCGACATAATTGTCAAACTGTCAGTAATTTTTTAAATAAAATCGGGGCCAATGTAAGATTTTCGTTGCAATTGTAGTATGTTCGTTGTTAGCTACAAAAAAACTCCGCGAAAGCTTAAAAGATGTGTTTTTATACATGAAACTTTATAAAGAATGAATAAATTTCTCCTTTGTAATCACCGATTTTGCGTTGAAAGAAAAAATAGATATACCACCACCATTTTTTTGTTTTATTCTGTGGCTGTTTCCGTTTTTCGCCACAGAAATTTCGCCAATGCCCGTAGTGATACCACCACCTGAAAAATGGATGTCAAATGGACAACTGTGGGTTTGGTGAAATAGGGCACTGATAATAGATATAACTACACGTTGTAATACTAATTAATATTTTTTTAAATGTTGGTCTTGGTAATTTCTTTTGTTTTTCTGTAACCATGTTGTTGGGGTTATTTTCTGTTTGTCATACCTGGTCATCCGCCTAAGATCAATTTATGATAGTTTCAATCAATCGTTTATTGCAAACTAAGTGTACATTTGCTGGAAAATTACAGTATGTGTGCTTTCAAACTTATCAAATTTTTAGAGGGCTTATATAATAAAATGAATATGGTAACAAATTTAATTCCATAGAGATATCAAATCCTCATGTCAGTATTATAAATTAAGCAATAATTATAATAATATTTTTGATGTCGTTAATTTGTGTTTATATTATTTATTTGATTCTATTTTATCAAATTAAAACGTCGAAAAAATATGAACAGGTTTGTTAAGAGAGGTATTCATTAATTCAATAAAAACATTGTGTAATAAGGTAATCGTGTAACTTTTTTTGAAATACTTTTACAGTTCGCTGATTTTTAATTTCCGCTGGTAAATTGTTAAATATTTTTATAGCCATGTAATATGGACTGCTATTAAAAAAAACATCCTGAATGAGGTATATATAATCCAACCTACCTAGTGCTGACACAAATACATCAGATGCGTTTTCGTATTGAAGTAAAAGGCGAAAGATTAGGCAACAAATGTTGGCATTATTAGCTGTAATTTTATCAATAAACTAGCGGCCCGCCCTCGCTTCGCTTCGGTGTAGAGCTGAAGTGTAGACTACAGTTTTTGTTCTCAGGCTTGTATTATACACAATGACATTCATCTATGTTTCTTCTTATACCTGCATGCAAAGTCTCAGCCCGGTCGGTTTAAAATTAACAAAGTTTCATACAAACTTTCATTCCCTATTTTATCCCCTTGGGGGTAGAATTGATCAAAATCCTTTCTTAACGGATGCCTACGTCGTAACATCTACCTGCATGCCAAATTTCAGCCCGATCCGTCCAGTGGTTTGGGCTGTGCGTTGATAGATCATAGATTGATAGATAACAGGCGTCTGTTCTCATTATAATCAAAATCGTTTCAGTATTTAATTTGCTAGACTTATCTAAATCCATCGGGTCCTGGTGTCAGGCTGGATTTGTACCAGTGTCTTTTATGCTCAAGTGGATGCACTACATCTAACTAAGAACGAATTACAATCACACTTACATTATAAAGGCGAAAGTTTGTGAGTGTGTATGTTTGTTACTTCTTCACGTCTAAACGGCTGGTGCGATTTTAATAAAATTTGGTATGGAGTTAGCTTACACCCTGGATTAACACATAGGCTACGTTTTACAGCGGGAAAATATCCCTAATAAACACGGGTGACACTGCGGGGCACAGCTAGTGTAAAATAAAATGTCAGCTTTTATAAGTATCGAACATGCGAAACAAAAATTACAATCTATTTTTATTATATTTTTATTTAAGGATT